ATCCAACAAACGTTGAGAAAACCAAGATCCAAACATTCTCGAGAATTGGCCTTGGTCATACAATTGCAACTCACCAATGGATCCTGAAGAAGTCTTCTTCCCCAATCTGCTGTTATGGACAAACTCTTACTATAAAGCACATTCTCTACGATTGCCTCAACTTTTCCTCGGCTAGAAGTATTGCATTTGGAACGATTAACCCTTTGAACATTCTACAATCAGCTTCAGAACAGAATATCAATTCAATATATTACTTTTTTAATACTACTAAGTTCACTATCTAATATCCATTTATTTAAATTAGAGCCGATAGCCTGTGTTGCTAGTGCTCAATGTCTTTTTTTTAGTCTAAGAATTCATTTCATTAGTCTAAAATTAAAATAATAATAATAATAATAATAATAAATAGATTTATTTATATAATAGCTTTATTATAAATTTAAAATACTTTATTATTATACATAAAAATATGTACATAAATAAAAGAAATTGTTATTCTTTCTAATGGTTTCCTGATTGTTTCCGATTCTTTTTCCTTGACTTGGTCGCTTTTGTTTTTCTTCCATCATCTCCTCTTCTATAATCATCTCTAGATGTATATATAGTGTTTTGGAAAATATGCGAACTTATTTAATTTTACAAGTTATCAACTCAATGTCGTGGGTTCAAATCTCAAGTGCGGTAGAGTTTTTTTTTTTGCTAGCGCTTTAAGAGAAAACAATTTATATTCTGGCTAAATTTATAATAATAATAATTTTACAAGTTAGCTTAGAATTGAACCGTGATAATTTTTAAACAAAGTCATCGCTAAATTCCCTGTTGAAAGGCAAAGCACAGAGTCGCTTGTAATAAATAAATGGTTAAAAGCCCAACATAACAACTTAAATGGCAACGCCAAGCAGCTATGTTAAATGCCCAACTTTGCTGACAAAAGGGGTTCAATTCTGTTAAATAACAGACCAAAAACCCTACTTTACCGACAAAAGGGGTTCAATTATGCTAAATAACAGACCAAAAAAACACAAAGCCGTCGGCAAAACACAGATTTTTAAATGCAAAGCCGTCAATTTTTCATGCCATATTGATAAATTGTCAAAATTGGCTAACTAGTCTTTCTTTAAAAATCGTTTTTCTCTTGTGAAAAACAGGCGTTTTTTGTATTATCTCATTCATCTCCTCTAGAGGACAAATGAGAACGAATATACGCTTATTCTCAAAGCGGCACAATACATGCAAAACAAATGAGAACGAATATACGCTTATTCTCAAAGCGGCACAATACATGCAAAACAATTGAGGACGAATATACGCTTATTCTCAAAGCGGCACAATACATGCAAAACAATTGAGAACAAATATGCGTTTATTTTTTAAAGCGGCACAATATATGTAAACAAATTTATTCAAACATTCTCATTTAGTGTTTTGGAAAATACGCGAACTAAACTTATTTAATTTTACAAGTTATCCGCCTGAGTGACTTCAAATCTCAAATGCGCTTTAAAGAAAAGAATTTATTCTCTGGTTAAATTTATTTAATGTGTATATGTAAGATAGTATCTAAGTATCGATCCTTTCTTCCCACAAAAGATTGGATGTGACCAGCGTAAGGTTGTCGCAGAAAGGAAATTAATATATTTACTGCTTCGATAATTAATATAAAAAAACATTGCTAAGCGTAACGAATTTATAAATATTGTTAAAAAAAGATATTTAAGATTCATGAAAAATATAAAAAAGAAATACTTCGCCAACGACTCGATATGATCTTTCAATTTCTCTAACTTAGTTACATTTTGCTCGTTACATTATATAAAGCATCTATCACGTAGCACACTTCGAATCACGAGAATCTATAAATTTTTGATTTTTATTTCCTAACATCACTAAGGTTTTTTATATTTCTTCTATCGATGGTAAATTTTGATTTTGTCCCTTTTTATTTAATATCCAATTGCAATGAGCGGTATGCACAACTCCAACCATGGTTTATTCCAAGCGCCACCAAACCAAATGACTACGAAACATTTTTTTTCTCGAGTTTTTGGGCAATTTAGTTTTTTTTGTATTAAAATCGTTTTTTTCGTTCGTAGTTTTTTTTCCTATTAAAATCGTTTCAATTTTTCCGCCTTTCAGCCACAAATGCAATCTTATAATTTTAATTCGAAAATGTTCTTCAAATTACATTGAAAGGCAAAGCGCAGAGTCGCTTATAATAAATAAAAAAATTGCCAAAAATGGTTGAGTGCCCAACTAACAACTTAAACTGCCAGATCGTTTAATTTGCAAAACCGCCAGCTTTATAACTCACGAAATCTGTTAAAAGAGCTTTGCAACTCACAAAATCTGTTAAAAGAGCTTTGAAACGCACGAAATTTGTTAAAAGAGCTTTGTAACTCATGAAATCTGTTAAACATTGCAAAATGAAAAAAGACCAGTAGGACGTTTTCCAGTCCTTGAATGAATCACTGGTAATTTGATTATTTTTTTCACGATACGAAACGTGGCCACACTTACCAAGATGGTATTTCATAATTGTTTGCCATAAATAAATATTTTAATTAAATATAAATTTTAAAATTTGGAAGAACTCCTAAAGAATTTCTGTTTTCCACCAATTTCCCAGTTATTTTCAGTTACCATTTTTCGTTAAATTAAGAGATCTTTTTACAATTTATTGGAAGTATAGATACAAAGCATACAGCCTCGCTGTCATGCATAAATAAACAAGAAAAAAAATTTGCATATATAATAAAATAATCGAGGCTGGGATTAAATATTCTTTTCAATTATTTTCATTCAGTGTAGGATAATAAATAGTAAGGATTATCAATTATCGAAGCCTTGATTTTCAATCATTTCACTGCTTACAAACTATTTTAATTATCGCAAGTAGTCGTCAGCATCCCTAAAAATCTCACAAGTTAAAAAGGAATAAATCAAAGATACTATATTGTTTTTATACTATGTATGCTTAACGCCGAAATTTTCATGACGTTCAGAGACTTATTTGACCGGGCAACAAAGTAGAACAATTCGAATAAACAACTCTGAATAATTCAAGCAATAGGAGTTGAAAAAAATAATTTTAAGTTACGAAGTGATTTTAGGTTACAAGAAAAAGTTCTAATACTAAATTGCCTCCTGTGATAATAGTCAGAGAAACAAATACTGCAAAATAATATGCCTTTAAAGATTTTTGTAGAATTTTTGTTGAGTTGGACATATGTGCCACATTTCTTATTGGCTTACTTTATTTAACCTTAACAAACTAAAAAAAGAAATTCACCATGTTGATAAATTTGATTTATTTATTTCTGATAATTTTATTTCTGTCAGATAAATCGTGCTCGTACTGTTCCGACTTTAATAGATGTCGATTTGATTCTAACGGACAGCCATGCAATTCTAAGTATTAGGGTATTATGCGAGGAGTTGTTGCACCACCGGTCCGATTAAACTCATTTTCAATAGGGCTCGTCTTAAGTCAAAACACGTCAGTGCACTACTACTACGTTTTGTCAAAATATATTAAAAATTGCGATCTACACGTTGAATGGGAAATAAATATTTTCGCAAATTCTCTTCGGTAAGAGAGGAACACTTCGAAAGTAGACGAACTGGAAAGAAATGGGAAGTTATCCATTTTCTGCCATGTTTCATAAACGGAAATAACTGAAAATTGCTATTTGAATTTGGTTTCCCGCTATCTGCAACCATTCGTTAGCACCATTTTTTGCAAAAAAAAAACGGTAGGAAGCAGAGGTTAACTACACATGAAAAATTTAGAGGCGGCGCTTAGATTTCCAAGTTTGACATTGTGTCAATCGCCTTATAAAGCAGAAGCATATTCTTCAAATTTCGTCGAATACTATAACGGTAACCGAAAATTGCACAATTTATGTCTACAACGAAAAGGCAATTATTTCCTTAACAAAGGTTACCGCGAGTGTATAAAAACTTTGAACTCTGAATATTTATTGGCCATTCTTTGATATATAAAAAAATGTGAAGTCTTGTTGAATTCCTAAATTGAATTTAGGAAACAGCAGAAATATTCATTCCATTGTTTTTATACGCATCACCGAAGCATGAGATGTATATACATATTTTGGTAAGGGTTTGCAGGGCTCAGAAGGAAGGAAGCTTCAGGAACCCCACAAAGTATATAAACTCTAGATCAGCATCAAATTCTAAATCGATTTGAGCATATCCGTCTACTTGCGTGCGTAATGTCTCTTGGAAACATTCCCTTGGTCGCAAAAATGAAGCTAATGTTAATAAATTTGGCAGACAAAAATTTTTATTTTGAAATTAGGAATAATCAGCATGCTGTAGAGCACAAAATTTACTTTTTATTTTTTTGTCTTTTTTTCGGATAACTTCGATCACAATCGAATATAATTTTCTTTTATTTAAAAAAAAAAAAATAGGATTATTTAATTTTTTAAAAGCACTAACTGAATGTACAACTGTACAATACAGCGATCAAATTAAAAGTAAAAAACTAACATTTCAGTCCTTTTTTTCAACAATCTGCCCAATTATAAAAAATAATTCACTAGCCGTCCTTGGGGATACGATAAGTTTCATTATCGCTTCGTATGATTTCAACTACAGCTCCGAAATATGATATAATATAATAAGAGCCATCTGGGGTTCGTGCAATTTGTTAGGTCCTCACCTTTAGCAATTCCAGATCTATCACATCCTACGTATTGCTGAGTTTTCTGATCAATTTGATTTTTACTAGGATCCGGACATAAATATTGACCCAGTAATAGACTTAAACAGTCATAAATCGCTGTTTGTGCAGTTATAAAAAATAATTCACTAAATAAAACGTATTTTAACATAATAAAGAACAAAACACCTTCAACAACTTCTTGTTAAAATTAATTTTATACTGGCAACAGCTGTTTATTGCTTACAACTAAATATAGGTTTGTTACCTAGGAACATATGCTTTGAAGCAAAACGTTGCAAAATAAAACAAAGAACTGGAAATTTGCAATAACTAATTATTTTGTTTAATAAGAAAGTACAACCGAAATTTCCCAGGAATATATCTATAAATACATGACAGGTAGCTTATCACTGTTCCAACGCGTACTTTCCGTTAAATTGTTCCGTTTTTTTCATTTGAAATAAAATTTGTAAAACATTCAGCTATTAATCAAAGGCGATGTTACTTAAAATACGACACGCTTTATTGGAAATAACCAACCAGCCCAATGCCAACGCCAAACAATCAGCTGTAATTATAAACAATGAAACTATTATAACATCTGCTGGTATCTTACAATCTTATGTGCGGCCCATGTTGCCGATCGTGGCTGATGAAAATGTATGCGCCAGCACTAGAATTATACGTACATTGCAGCAATGTAAATTGATTGATGTTCAAAGCGTTGATAATGATGAGTCGCGATTCTTACTCTTTCTTAACTTTCAAATAATGTTTGATCATCGTAAATTACCTCAGGCATCCATGCAGTGTGTCCATACAGGACGTGTTGATAACATTTTAAAGCGTTATCGTGCTAAATTATTATATATCTTCAGTTCAGAAGAAATATCACGTAATTTTCATAAACTTTCAAATGGCAACAGTTTATCAGAAGATACTGGGCATAAAGAAGTTCTTCTTACTAGCTTCCTGATATTGTCTACGCAACCTGAAAAATTAAATTCGCGGGAAAGTTTTCAACGTTCCCTAGAACATATCGTTCATTATTTACGCTACCAATATTCCGTACGGGCTTTAGATGATGTGTTAATTATGTATACACCGTTTGGTATGGAAAATTTCTATAAAACCGTAAGCATAGGCAAAGTATCAAATGTTTTAAGACACAGCAACAGCAGTTTATTTGTATTGTCAAATATTTTACCAAGATTCAGCGAGGGTTCAGCGGTATTCAATAATAAATTGTTAGTGCGATTTTTTTTTTTAATAAAAATTCTACACGTCCTTAGATAAGTATCCGATTTATTTTACAGACGTTTGATTGGATTAATTGTTTGCACTTCATTTCAATATAATCAAAAAAGCATTGATATGACTTTAGTTGCAAATTTTGCTTATCTCTTGCGTGACTTTATGCAGCAATTAGGGATCAAAATTACTTCTTTTACTCTGCCGAGGGAGCCTTCTTCTCATTTTGCTTGTAAGTTGCAATTACTGCTGAGGAGCATTATTTCTTTATTTATTAAGTCTCTTATTAATTTTGTTTTTTATTCATATTTTTTAGGGGAACGTTTTTTGGTGATTGTAGAGGCAGCCGGTAAACAAGGCAGTGGAACATTTGTTAAAGTCCAGAACAAAAAATTCATTCTAACCTGCTCTCATGTTGTATTCCAGGTAAATTTTTAGTAAGCGTAATATGAATTTCATATATCCCATTTCACTTCTTCCAAAAAGTATTATTAAGTAGTACTACTTCTAAGCTGTTTAAACAAATAAGTGCGATTATAAAGCATATACTGTACCTAATCAAATAAGCTTAGAAAACCATTCGAAAAATGTTGCAAATACGTTGTTGTATGTCGCTTTCGTTTGCAATTCCTTTGAACATTGATCTATACTCAAATTGTTTTGGAATTTTGTTACGTATTACGCTGCAGATCTTTCTTTTTTTAAAGTTACATGCTAACAAGTCTGGATAAAATTTTATTAAATACGGTCATTCAGAAGAAATCCAATCTTCGCACAAATAATTTTATACATAAGACAAATATAAAACTTTAGTGGGTTCGGCCCACCATTAATTATCCTACAGCACCGTATAATTATATATATAACGATTTTTGTTTATAAAGCATTATACGGGAAGTGGTCGAATAAGTGGCTCGATCCAAACCATTTCGTCTTTCGACCAAAGCTTCTAGAAAGTCTGCTTTTAAAGGTCAATCACTTTCCTTACTTGAACACAAGAAGGACAGTCAAGTTTCGATCGATACGGAAATCGGGGGCGTGGCACACCATTGTGCCACAAAGGATTAAAAACGGTTTTTCGTAATAATAGATTCTCAAATATCCGTCTATGTTGGCTTCATAACGATCTAACCTCAAAATGAATCGTTGACCACCACTATCAACGCAATAAAATAGGCTTGCCTTACCATTTTGTTGTAATTAGATCCAGGGTTAACATAGCATGTCCTAAATTCCTGTCAAAATTTAGTTCTGTTTTTATACCTTCGGACTATGTCTTAGCGGTAAAAGAGAAGAAAATATCCAATGAAATTATTTTTAGGTTAGTTCCAAAGTTCTATGTCGCAACATGCACGGTGCATTTGAATCGGAAGTTTTATGGCGGAATCCACATTATGGTGCAGCCTTCGATGTGGCATTACTTTCGATACCTCAAAATATTCCTGACCGCCATTGCGTTCGTCTAGCGCAAACCAAACCGTACTTGGGACAACGTATTTACAATGCCGGCTTTCCTTATTTTGTAAACTTCAATTTAAAATACGATTTTAATCCATCAATATTTCAAGGCCGGGTAATACGTTTTACACCGGCACTGATAATGTCGGACGGCTGCGTTCAAGCAGGTCAAAGTGGTGGTGCCATGTTTAACGAGCGTGGTAATCTGATGGGTATATGCGTTTCCAATATTAAAGTGGATGAAACCGTGTATCCGAACTTTAATAGTGCTGTTCCTGTAATAAGTATTCGCTCCATTTTAGAAGATTACGCTCAAACTAACGGTGAGTTCAAAAATTCCCTTTAATGACATTAAGTTTAATTTTTATTTAAATGTTATAAGATATTCGTAAATTGAACATTTTGGTGGCTAATCAAGATGTACAGAAATTATGGTCTCTGGCTAATTCAAGTATAAGCAAACTATAGTCGATTGTTAAATAATAATTTCATAATTTTTTGTACAGTGTAGAATAAATTTAAAGAATTTTCAATAATCGTTTTATTTATTAATAGATATAGGAAAGCAAATTGAACAAAAAAGGCACTAAATAAAGAAAATGTGAAGGAATAGATAGAGCGAACAGACGGATAGAGAAGAAAGGTGTAGACTAAAAACCATATAAGCCTGAAGAAATTCCCTCGTTATGTTAAAAATCTCAAATAATTGTCATGAAAAAAACCATTAATTAGCAAATATAGAGTCTTGCCAAATAAGATATCAAATATATTCATATATTGATTGGTGTTTTATATATTTTTCTATATAGGTATAAGTATGTATGTAAGTGGGAATCAAAGGGCCAATCAAAGTTAATTCTTATCAATGCAATCATTAACATGACTGTGTAATATCATTAAAGTTTTAAAAGCCTTATCACAAACTGGGCAACGATAACTTTGGGGAGCTTTTTCAATTGGTAATGCTACAGCCTGATCGGTCGGTGAAGGCACTAAACACTATAAAAAATGGAAACAAAAAAAAGCATATATTCGTATATATTGATATAAAGCAAAACAATAGCAAACCAATACAATGTTGTTACTTACTTGTATCGGATTATTGTAACTGCTACTACTCATAGAATTGCCGAGAAATTTTTCATAATTGTCAATTTGATTTTGCCGTTCTTCGATTAATTTTTGATTACGTTTTTGTAATATTCGCAAATCTTTTAGCATTTGTTGCTTTTCTCCCACAGCCTTTTCACGCGATTGTCTTTCGATTTCAAAGTCATGACGATGCACTTGATTGCTTTGCTCTAATAAAGTAATGCGTTGATTCAAATCCTCTATCCTGTGTTGCTTATCTAAGTTTGAAGTTTTCAATTCATGTATTTCAGCGCGTGACTGCCTAATTAACTCTTCAGCAGCGGCTAAATTAACTTTTAAACAATTTAGCTCATCAATGTATTGTTTTTCCTTTACACAAAGAACAAAATGTTACTTTCTTTTAAATATTTCTTTTTCCTTTTTTTACTTACCATATCTTTAAAATCTAAATTTTTAGCCAATAATTCCGATAATTGTGTTTCTAAATTTTTAACAACTTTTTGATGTTCTTCTCGTCTTATATAAATTTCGTCACTTGACGATTTTCCCGTTTTTAATAATGACGCCGGCAAAACATCAAAAGAGGCCTAAAGCAATTAAATTAGATAAGGATAATTAGTTATTAATCTTTCAATGTTTCAAAGTTGCAATCATTTTAATTGCGGAAGCTTTAAAAAGGGAAACAATCCATCCATGTTTTGAAATTTCCTATCTAGAATATGCTTACACAGGCAGTACACTTCTTCAGTGCAAGCAATTGGACGTTTATTTTCAACACTATTAGGAACGTATAAATTTTTAAATTATTCTCCCACTTAGATGATAAGCAGTGAGAAATTGAAACAAAAGCTTTAATTTGCTTTGTGGTGCTATAACATCGCTGAAATATTATAGATATTACTTTTCGTCTTTTAAGAATATAATTGAAAAATTTGTATGTTTCTAATAGTGCAGTATCTCACCAGCTGTGATTGTTCCAATTTTTCAATTTGAGCTCGCATGTTTTCAATTAAAGCTGATTTCTCTGATATACTCTGTATCATTTCCTCACGGTCCTTTTGACGAACAATATCCAATGCCTTTATTTGATCTAATTGAGTTCCAATATCCTTATTTAAACGAGTGTTCTCATCTTGCAGCTGAAAGGAATGAAAATATAAATAAAACACAGACAGAGTGGTGGAAAATTAAGTCCTGTAAACGTTAAAGGTGAAAGTCTAAAAATTACAAATTTTACTACTCTGTATTTTTAAGCGAATTAATTTTATGAATAAGCAAAGCAAAAAAAAGATTGCTTTAAAAAAAATGGCATCAGTTATTTTCAGCTGACTAACGAGAAAATTGTGCTAGTGAAAGAAAGCCACATAGGAATTTTAATTTTCTGTAAACTCGAGACTTTTTTGAAAAGAAAAAGAAAGAAAAATCATACCGAATTTCGCTTTTCCACTAAGGAAGGACACCAAAGCGTAGAAAATGTGTTTTTTTGACAATGTTTTATTTAGTGTGGAAGACAATGCTAATACTCGGAGAAGCTCTTGAACATGTATTAACGCAAAATTTTGAAGCATTCTGCACCACGCAATGATGATACAAATTTGGAGAAAAACACCATGATGTGGCTCGGAGAATTAAATTTTTTTCATCATTTAAAATATCTTTAAGGCATAATTTGAATCAATAAAAAAAAAAATGCCCCGAAAAATGGTGCATTAAGACTTAGAATGTAGTTTAAAAGCATCTCAAAATAAAGTAATTTAGAGGTTTTTTAAATATGTGGGATTATTTTTTGATTGTAATCTTGTAAGAAACCAGCAGTTTCCTTTTTCTCAATTTGGAACGATAACAAATACGATTAGATAGTTTCAGATTATTTTCAATAGTTCGCCATTTTCAAACCACAATGTGAGTTCAATAATTACGCTCGATGATTTGTTTTTTTCTTCCTTCTTCTCAGTTATTTAGATGAGAGCGAAGAAAAAACAAACATTCTCCGAAGCATTGAGCATCTATGAAGTGAGTGAGTGAGATATGTGCAAGTAATACAACACTTTTGAAAATATGTGTATATTTTATTTGTAGAAGAAATTTAAAATATCAACTAGTTGAAATGTCGTCTCGTTATAATCTGTCATCTTTGCGGGATATGGATTCTTAAAGCACTCACAATTATACACACACACATGCTCTTACCTGTTGAATCTGTTTTTGACATTCTTGCAATTGTTCGCTGTATCGTTTTTCATTTTTTTGCCTTTCCTCTTTGAATTGTAAGGTACTGCGATGATATTGTTGTAATGTGTTAGTAAACTTTGTCAATGTAGCTGAATAAGTAGCGACCATTATTATTAAAGCGACCTGAAAGTACTTGAAATTTATAACAAAGAAAACTTACTCTGTAATTGTGTATGTTCGGTTAATAGATTTTGTAGTTTTACGATATCCTCGGCAGATGCCTGCATTGATATGCTGGGAAATTGTGAATAAACGCTAGTCTAAAATACATTAAAAATTAGAAAGATAAGAATAAAAAAAAATTGAAACGTCTATTTATTCACACCTTTAAAACGTCGACATTAATTTCTCCTAAAATGAAGCTGGCAGCTAAATTGCTATTACTGGACCGATCTGTTACGGCACTCGAAGGGCCTGAATTGCCTGAAGAGCCTGAATTGCTAGGAGAGGTTTCTAAAGATTTTTCTTTTCTTACGTTTTCTGCGGTATTAACAGCTGAAGCACTTATTAGTAAAGACTCTTTTATAATTTTTCCAGTAGTAGAGTGGTCCACAGTCAACCAATTTTGCAAAGGCGATTCATTGCTTTGTTTAGATTCGATCACACACGATGTAGCGTTTTTAGAAGTACTCGTTTCTTCATAGGTGTCCTGTTTTTCGAGCTCGTTCGACATTTTGCTTTTATTTGACAACGATTCTTGAACTGAATGAGGAGTAAGTATACGAGAGTTGTTCTGAGCGCAAGAATTTTTATTGGCTTTTATAGAACTATTAAAATCTTTTTCACTTGTTGTAGAAATCGTGGTTCTTTGCCATAATTTACTATCTCTTAAAGAGATCACTTCAGCCACTTCCGGTTGTATACTCGATTGTGTGCATATTTTTTGGGCAGTGTTTCTTTGCTGTGAGTCGCTTTCGTTTGCAATTCCTTCCGCTATTGATCTATGGTCCAGATCTTTTGGAATTTTGTTACGTGCGATTGATGAATTCCCTATATCGACATTAGGATGGCTTACAGTTAACCAGCTTTGTAAAGGGGATTCATTGTCTGTTGTAATTTTGCAAAAAGTACTGGTTTCTTGCTTATTGTTGTCCTTTCCAAGCTGCTTTGAAAGTTTGCTTGTTTTTAACAATGATTCTTCACTTACGTCAGGAGTAAGCATAAAAGGTATATGCTGAGCGAAACTTGTTATTCCTTTTTTTATGGAATTCTCAGAATCTATTTCACTTTCTGTAGAAGTTCGAAATCTCTGCCATAATTTGCTATCTTTCACTAATCTCGCTTCAGCCATTTGCGGTTCTACATCTCCTCTTTCGGCATTTCTTCTTTGTTGCGTTTCGCTTACGTTTTTAAATTCTCCGCTTAAGCAACTTTTAGAATTTTTTTTGGGTTTAATTGATGAAGCGCCCACACCATCTGCGGTAGTCAATGATTGCTGTAAATTGTCTATGGATGAGTTGTCATCACCTTTACTGTCGAGCGACAAAGTGTCCAAAATAACGAACGAGTCTTCGTCAGACATTGTAATTGCTATTTTGCATTAATCCAAAATCAAATTTTATAGTAGTCTGTGTTCTGCGTGACAAATAAAATTCAAGTTTTATCGTTGAATGGTTAATGAGTTGCTTTTATTAAATCTTAAGGTGGGAAATCCCTTTTTATATACAAAACGAAAGATTTTGATTCTTTTATTTTATAACCGATGATTCACACGCACATACACTTTCTTACCTGGTGTTACTATCGTCTGTTTTTGCTTGTTCTCTTAATCGACTGAAATAACACAAAAAAAAAAGAAAAAACTTTTACATTTCTAGAAATGGTCTAATAATTAATTTATTAGTATTACATCCTGTTCGATTGAAAGTAATTATCAAATAAATGCGCAGAAAACACTATCTTGCCATCAGCGACCTAATAAGTTTAATTTACCTACAGTTATTTTCTTTATTTTTCCTTCGACCGAATTTATTATACTTTTAGAGACGAAAGTCAATAGTTTTAAGCACTTACGAGTTAATTGATGCGAAGAGAGTTTGTTTTTGTTTCTTTCAAAGTGATGTTATTAGTAACGAATTGCCAATGTGAAAAAATTGTTCCGACCGTGTTGTAGTTGCCAGCCAAAAATGCATGAAATGCAGGAATATTTGAATCTAAAATATATATATGTCTACATCTTAATAAAGTTAGCGACTGGTTAAATAAATATATTGTGTGTATGTATGCAATGATATCTTTCAAAAATTCAACGAGAACAGGAAGGTTTTTCTACTCAGCGCAGCGAAAGCTAACCTTCAGGTACGTCATTACCCCTTGTTGCTGATTATATATATATATCTATAAATATATATATATATAGATATAACATATATATAAGCTTCATGTTCTGATTACAAATTTTCTATCCAGCGAATCATCTGTTGGTGATTTGTTAAAATTTTTCAATAGAGAAAAATGAATTTATATATTGTTAGAGATGTTTTCTCTTAATAATTAGGTAATTGTACTAACTTGTTTGTTCTTTACTCTCCATATAGAAGATAGCCTAACATTTAGAGGTACATTCGCTATAAATCATTTTGGGAATATCCTGAAATTAAATTTTTTTCACTTTCTATCTAAGCTAAAAATTATATAGAACTTTATCGTAACCTATAGTATATAAACGGTTTAATAAAAAAAAAACATTAAATTTTCACGAAAATATGTAACTAGGTGGTTTATACAATAAGGGATGATTAATTTTGCGAGTTTTTATTTATGTCATGTTACGACACTTTCGTCTATTTGCATTTTATATATTAGCACACTTTTAGATAGCATTTTAGAATGTTATATCAAACCACTATGAATAACGTATCATTAATTTTTATACTTTCAAAATGGCAATTCTGACAAAAGGCCGAATGATTCTCTTTCAATGAATATGTTTGAGAATAGGGGCAAGGAAAAAGAGAGTATGAAAAATGCGAACGAAATGAGCAAAACAACAAAAACATGTCTTGTGGCAATTATTATATAATAATAATATAAAAAAAATAATAACATTTATTATATTTGAACAAATCAGAAAAGTTTACTTCTAATAAATAAAAGAGATGCAGAAAATCAATATGTGTTTGACATTCACAAGACGTTGCACGAATCTCAATTGGATGATTGTCACCTCGTTTGGGTACCTGGCCACTGCGGCTTTTTTTTAAATGCAAAAGCCGACTTTCATGAAGGGAGAGCTCGTGTGGATGGAACGATTTTGTCCATCAAATATACACCCAATGAAGCAATTCGGGCAATTCGCAACCACATCCTTCAACAGCTAAACGACGAATTTAAAGTAATCGCGCGTTAAATCCAATCGTCTTTTCTGTAAATTAAATCCCACATTTCAATTCAAACCCTTCTCTGTATCTTCCTTTAATTCCTGGGAAATCAAAATTCTTTATAGACTCATGAGTGGTCACACTTACGACAAAGTGTATTTAAAAATGATTCGCGCTATACCATGTGATGTTTGTGAAATTTGCAATGTTGTTGAGTCTGCTGAGCATCTAATCTTCAGATGTCACAGGCTTGATGTCATTAGAGATTCCTTTAGCTTCTTCAAGTTATATGGCTGTCTCCTCGATCTCTTTGCAGCAAAAAATGTACGTCATCTCGGGGACCTAACTTGCTTTATTAGAAAAGCTAATTTATCCTTTTAGAATTTTTTTTTCCTCTTCTTTCCTTTTTTTTCTTTCGTTTTTGCGTTTAATAATCTATTACCATAGCATTGCTTTTCGTTTTCAGCCAAAGTTTGCAACACTGTCTGACGTTCAAGAACTCAACAAGCACAATTTCACACACACACACACACACACACACACACACACATACACAATTACATTTAACATGCTCACTCCAGTTATTACGGCCGCTCTTATTTTTTTGTTACGTTTTATACATAATCGTGACTAAAAATATCTGGACATATAAGCCACAAATCTATTGGCTTAGTCCATCTCTGTTCAACATACCAAAAAAAAAAAAAAAATCAGAAAAGTTTTCGTGAGCGAGACTTTTTTTTGTAGAGCTTGTAAATGGTGCTGATGTATGTCTAAGTTACAACTATTTGGATTATTAAAGCAATCTAACTTAATATACAATATAAACGTATAATACAATTCTCATTTAACAGAAATGCCACTTCGATCTCTCACTTTAACAAAAGTGGCAAGCGAATAATTGAAAGGCTTTGATTTCGATTTCTCTCACACTGTGCTACTTTATTTACTAAAGAAAAAGAGAAATTAGCAGAAGGGTGGGGTTCAAAGCGGGTTTCAATAGCAAGCATAAAACCCGCTTTAAAAGTCAAATACACTTTTTATAATATTTCCGAGTAAACAGTTAAATTCTTCTTAATTGCTGCTTCTAAGAGAGGATACATTAATTCTTTTCTTACTAATTGCTGTGTAGATAGGGAAGAAGGCAGGAAGAAGGTTGGTAGATTAAACGGGACAATTCAATACGTGGTTTATTCGTATCCCATTCCGTTGAAAAGAAGTAAGCAAAAAACTTTTCATCCATATTCTTAAGATAATGATGATTTATTATCAGAAATCTATAGAAAGCAGCCTCCAATTACTCCAAATTCCTTAGATTTTGAGGAAGTCGTTTTTCTAATTCGAAAATTTTCAACACGTCGAGAAAGTCTCTCAAGATTTGTGTTTGCTTTGCTTAAATCCTTACAGGGCATAAAATAGCCACAGCATTAATCAATATTGATATATAATTTCTGGTATGATGATATTTCTGGTATATGTATGAAATTAACCAAAGTTTTGCAGTAATCAGTCATTTGTCTTAAAAATCTTAAGTAATTGATGTTGCTCTCGAAGGTCTTTAATAAATCTTGACCACTCATTTCATTTAAACGCACGCCTATTGCAGATGAGAAGATCTATTTATTTCGCCTAAATGGGACCAAATAATGCTCTGAATTATCAACACCTTGTTGGCAAAAGTGAGCGAACGCAGCGCCTTTCTCGTGGATAAGTGTTGATGCAAAATGGTAAGTATACCGCCTTCCGATATAATTAAAGTGTCAGTTATCTCGCTTTTCGGTTTTCAAAGAAGATTTTACACACTCTGTTTATGTTTTTTTGGGAATAGCTGTTAAATATGAGCGATCAGAGCGCTCAGCATCGAAATTTTCTATAACAAGTTTGAAGTCAAGAATCGTCATTCAAAGTTTTGCATTGTTTCGAAAATAGCATCACCGAAATCACTGTAATTGTCAGAATGTCATGAAACTTCGATACGCATGGACTGAAGATTGGTACTATCCAGAAATCATACGTGCGTGTTAAGAGTGTTGCTATCTTTTTGTTAGACCGGAGACTTATTGACTGATGAGTTATATAACCTGACCATACCATCGCCATTGTTTTCGTTTACAGTGATCAGGTGACGATAATCTAGCTCATTTCATAGGAGCAGTCTCACACACCACAAGAACAATATGTAAATATTCTATTTAAAAAAAGTACCGATAATTGTTACAAACATCGTTTTCAGCAAACTTTTGCGAACATTTGAATGGTTGAAAGAGTGTGAAATTATAGCGAGAAGAAAAATTTTATACAAAGATAAATGAAGTCGTTTCACTACGGGACAATCCAGTCAATAATAAAAGGATGTGTGATCTACGCACGAATGTGCTTTCGAGTACGCAGTATTGTATCTAATGGAGATAGGTTTTGCTGTAAGTCTTATATAATTTTTTTTTCTTTCATTAGGAAGGCACAATATTACATATTAAGAGCCGATAGCCTGCGTTGCTAGTGCTCAATGTCTTTTTTTTAGTCTAAGAATTCAATTCATTAGTCTAAAATTAAAATAATAATAATAATAATAATAATAATACATATTAAATTTTTTGCTAAAAAAGGAGAAACAATTTTTAATTAACTAACTGTTGATCCTTTTCTGGTATAGGAGGCATGATAACGGAATAGTGGACGAAAAACATTCACTTCAGCTAATTCCATATCATAATCGACATCAATTGGTGCGCTGATGTCAATCGTATTGATAAGTTTTGGTGATCTCCGTGTAATACGATACGAAGAAAAAAGATTGGAAAACGAAGCATTGTTGATTGTTGATGGTGACGGCACATAATCCTTCTTCTGTTCCGAGCTCAAAGCTTCTGACATCAACCAAAAAACCAATCCCAAGCGAAGACTTATCTTGATTAAAGCGTAGCAATTGAAATTCTAAATAACATTATTTTGAATATTATATCAATGATTAAAAAACAAATTACGACAAAGTGTACTTGCTTTCATATCCTTATTATATTATTATATTATTTTTGATAATTTAATTAAGTTTCTTTCCACAATCACGTTCGCAAAACTTAAGCTTAAAATGTTTTACACAAATTTGCTTTGCAATCGATCAATCATGAACGCGTTGTTAGTGATTCGATGGCGTTGATGTGTTATATTTTTCGTTAATAGACTCAAAGCAACTTCTAAAGCCTTTTGCAATTGAAAAGTACATTTTTTTTTATTAAAACATCATTAACACATACGTAATTGTTCTAATTTACTCAGTGTACGAGTGTACATAATTATTCGTACATGTTATGATTGCATTCATTTCACACATTCGCCATGTTTATAACATTCATTCGAAAATTTAGGTTTTGTTGCTTTGAGAGATAATGATTTATTATCCGCTGTGCTACAGACAAAAACATTCGACAACGCTCCCTGAAATTGGTTTGAATATCTCTGTCCTCTCACGTACGTAGATCATGTTGAACTACACTTGCCTTTTAATTTGGAACTTAAGTCACGCCACCCTACTCCAAGCTGATATAAATAATTTGGTTACATGATGCTCGCTCAGTCAGTTCTATGATATTAAATCAAAAGGAGTGCAAGAATTTGTCACTTTCAAGACGCAGCTCTTTCGCAGCTGAATGTTTTATTGATTCTTATTAGTCGGAGAATGTGAACTCGCTCCTTGATCTAGGTGGTCTATTTGATCATAA